TACAACTTTAGTACGCGGAGCAATCTGTAGAGCTGGAAGCTGAGAACTGGCGACTTTCAAGTACAACTTTACGCGGAGCATCTGGGGAGCTGGAAGATGAGAACTGACTGGCGACTTTCTAGTGCAACTTTAGCACGCGGAACAACCTGTGGAGCTGGAAGCTGAGAACTGGCCACTTTGTAGTACAAGTGTAGTACGCGGAGGAGTCATCTCTCGCTGCTGAGTCAGCTCTCGCTGCTGTGAGTCATCTCTCGCGACTGAGTCATCTCTCGCTGCTCAATTATCTCTCGCTGCTGAGTCAGCTCTCGCTATAGCCATCTCTCGCTTCTGAGTCATCTCTCGCGGCGTGCAGGTTTGGCACAGTTCATACTGATAGTATTTGGTTGCATGTATGCAGGACAGGACACTCAACTGCTGGTCAATACACCACTCATCATACACCACTCGTCATACACCACTCATCATACACCACTCGTCATACACCCCTCTTGTCGTGGCAAAGATACAACCCAGTACGCTGTTGTGAGCTGCTGATCCTGCAGGGGGCACACACACCTTACACACGTGGAATCCCGTGGGTCAAAAGTCCGGAGCGCGTGCGTTTGACTGGAGGACGCGCATGTTGGAGAGAACGTGGACACTCCTATAGGTCAATTTGTTCTTATAGGAAACTTCCGCCGCCGGCTTGCCCGGGAACTACTTGTAGTACCACCCCAGGGCACCATCTAACGTAGGGGTCCTTTTTAATGACAATACCGTACCACAAAATTGTCTGCGGAATCTAAATTCAGAAAACGCAACAACATCAGAGATCACAAACTTGATCAAATTTGATGCAACATCTGGCCAGAGATTAGCGTTTTGACACGTTGCCTCTACAATTCCTTTGCTTCATTCATTTGTGTTGATTGTTCGGCCACTTATTTTAGATGTTGGGGTTCCCTCAAGAGTGTGTTCTTGGGCCTTGAGGCATAATCATTATTGTAAAATATTGTAAAGTATTTTTTCGAGATACTATGATAAGTTCCGGAGACAATGGCATTTTTTTGGAGGGTATCCTCAACTTTTGTTTGGGTTGTTAGCCTGACTTGGCATTGGTATCGACTCTGCAGCTTGCAAACTGACCTTTGTTGTGCATTTCCTTGGTCTTGATGAGGTGCGTGGCCCTGATTTTGAGGAGCATATCGCAAATTATGGTTGAAGAGAACTTTTGGACTCTGCAACATCATGGCACCAACCTTCTTTTACAATGCAGACCAATATATTTATACAGTATATATATATATACACATGTATTTGTTGCGCTCCGTGGCCCCCTGTGCAGGTCGCGACCCCAACGAGCCTATTTGCATGACCAAAGTCCCTCATGGTGCCTTGAGCCCGTTCGAAGCAGACTTGGAAGTATGGAAAGGCAGAGCTGAACAATCAATAAGCTACATTTGGCCTATCTACATGCCGGGAAGAGGGGTTGAATCAGTTGATCTTGCTTCTTTTTGATCGGAATAGGCTTCTTTCAACCAGTCATATGAGTCATATGCTGCAATCACAGCCATAGCAGTTATGCCATTGGCATCTTCAGTCCGGATATACTGGACACTCTTGGAACACTATTCTCCGCTTCTCTGCCTTGTTGCCGCGGCACCTCAGGTACTGACGTGGACTACGGTGCTTTGACAAAGGCAAAGATTACTGCCTTCCAAGAACTTGGAGGCATGGCTGTCGTATCCACCACACAGACACCTGTTGAACACATTGAAATGATGTTTTGGTTGAATAAAATGAAATATGTGTTTGTAGTATGATGATATAGGTTGGACACGTTTGGTCGGCTTTCTGAGTTTAACACCTGCAGGACTTGTAGGAAAGTGTTGAGTCCGTAGGAAAGGGTGACACGAGCTCTCCACACATGCTCCACTCTCAAAAAAGCAATGACAAATTGTTGCCACAATACCTTGCTTTGGCCAGGTGACTTGCGACTTCACACGGAGGTGACAGATGTCAAGAAGGCCTAAAGAATTGCTCACCAGGAAAAGTGACGGGAAAACTAGCCGTGCTGCCTCGGAGACTCTATATACAATCTTGCAGTGGTATTGTAGGATATATATATATACAACAAACAAATTGCGAGTCATACAAAAACTAAAGAACTGACCTGTCCTCGATTTGCATCCTTGGGACTGCACATCATGTCAGAGCTTCACACATTCATCCATATGACACCCCAACTACCCAACGGCTCTGTACTATCCAATAATATGAATCAAACAAGTCTAGCCTAGCTTCTCCGAGAGTAAGCTCGGACTTGCAGTCCCACAATGGAAGTCCTGTCCTAAGGGTTGAGAGTCCAAAACTAAATATAAAGATTGAATGGCACGCGAACTGTGTCGCCATACGCCAGAACAAAGACGGGAAGTGGGTCATCACCACCAAAGTCAATGGTGCGGGTTCAGGCAGGCATTGTCAGGGTCGAAGTATGGATGGGCCGGAGGGTCGATCACTGGCCTTTGAAGGCGAGTCTTTGTAGAAAAAGAGTGCAAAAAGGAGAGCAAAATGCCCAGAAAAGAAAGATATGAAACACGGATTTTGCAATTAATATCAATTAATCACTCGTTTCTCTGGCGCTTTGGACAGGAAATGACAGGAATTGACATTGGGCAACTTGTGGCACAATGCAGTATGGGCAACGTAGGACTTCGCAAGCACAGGTTGGGCCTACAACAAGGCAAAGTTTGTGTTTGTCGGTGCTGGAGGCAAGTTCCTACGAATCGTGTGCTGTCACTGCCTGACTGCACCATTGCACATATTTTGTGTCAAACCATCTCAGTACAATTTACAAGTCATGGCAATTCATGGCTCAGCTCATGTACTTGGCACGTGATGACACGTTTTTCTTGTGCATTTTTGCAATGAGAATATTCAATTTTGCGCACGTTTCACTTCATTCGTTGTCGCACAGGAGTTTACATGGTGTTCGTTGTCCCATTTTCATCGAAGTCAGGTTGGGCCTTGCTGATGCTGCAGAAGGCTGGAATTCCAGAGGTCAACGGCCGCTTGGCAATGTCATTGCAACAGGATGTGCTTGCATTTAATTTCTTGCAATTGGAAGAGATCCTGAAACCGCTATGGCTATGGCTATGGTTCATTGCAACGTGCACAATTGAGGTTATATGGCCTTGCCTGTGACGGGCGACTGGGCGATTTGCCAGAACCCTGAGGCATGCTGACCTCCTCAACGATTCAAATGAAACTGCAAGTTTCTTGTTCTGAAGAAACTACTGACTGACTGGGAAGAATTGATATGCGTTGACACCATCAGACAACAGAAAGTCATGCTTCACTGCCAAAATGCCCGCACTAACTTGCTCTTGGAAGGTGGTGCATCAGCATAGGGTGAAGGTCTACGCCCCTGGTGCACCTGGAGCTCCTCCTATGTCTATGCCGCATTTGGACTACCGCACTATTGGTGGCAAGGAGGGGTCAAGGGTCGGTCGAAATTGTCCCGAAGCACTTGCATGAAGATTGCAATGGTTTCTTTGGCTATCGATCCTCCTTGTCTCATTCGTTATCCTTTTGTAGCAATTGTATAGCCCTTTGTTCCGGTCTCTTTCCTTCTTATCTCACTTTCTCTTTTCTCAGCTCATGGAATCATGGCTCCAGCATTTTCATCACATGCCAAGTTGCCAAGGAGGTGTTGCTCTTTGGGCCATTCGGCTCGATGACCATGAAGTTCTTGAGGCAGGAGGAAGCTTACAAAGTTAACGTGAGACAGAAGAGATCACTTGAAGGAGCTTGAAAACTCCAGCGAACAGTTTCTTTCCTACAGTTTCAACAGGTTTCAAACCTTCTATGTTTAACAAGGCCTTGGGAGCCTTAGGTCTTGGTCTTGAGTTACCTACCCGTTCTACGAAGAGTTGATTATTTCTTCCATGTCAAAAGGTCAGCATGGTCAGCGGGGTGCATTTCTGGAGCCACACAGGTACGGTTCTGTGACTGATGCCTTTAGGGCACTCAAGCCTCACAACCTCATCCCAACTGCTGGAGCATTGCCGCTTGGCATGATGGTTGTGGCCCTCAATATTTGGCACATTTTGACATGTCACAAAATGCCACGATTGCTATTTACTGTATTCACTTCAGAGCTTGCTCCTTGAAGTTTCCACCCCAGGTTCTTTAACACGAGTTCAATTGAGGGATTTGCTGGATCAGCAAAGCTGAAATGTGCTGAATTTGAAGCTGTTGGGCGCCATTTGAGAAACAGAGATGGCAGATCGTTTTGATACGCAACACTGCAACACGTTGCTTGATCGAGCAGGGCAGGGCATGTGTTTGAGTTATGTTGTGTATGGGTCAAAGCTATAGCAGGCGACAGTGCTAGGTAACTTGGACAGTTCTGTTTGTCTTTGGGATGTTCGTCGCTGTATAGGGGCCCCAGTACCCGGCACAATGTCCTTGAATTTGTTGATGGGTCTCGTGGGATTGGTGCGCAAGCAGGGTTTTGACCTACAGCCTGCAGCCATAACAGCAACACAACTCACCCTTTGGCACCTTAAAAGTGGTGAAACCAACTTGACACACAGAGTCAACCTTTCTTGAGGTCAAGAAATCTCAGCTTGGCCGTGATGCTCATGAAGGCCTTGAACAGCCTTGCAACATTCAGCCCCTTGATTGCTTGCCCCCATCTTACGACCTCACAAAGAAAGATCCAAACACAGAAGTACACGGTATATATATAACTATATATATATACACATACATATATACATATTGTTCTGAGGTAGGTCTAGTCAATTTGAAGTGCAAAGGGGTTTTGATGAAGAGCAGGATGTGTTCAAGAGCGCCATGGGAAAGCTCCATGACATCAGGCTGGGAAATCCTTGTACACGTAACCTGGCGAGCCGAAAACGTGATGCCTCTCGAGGGTCCTTCAAAAGCTTGCTCACTCCACAGAACTTTTTGGTTTTGTTTTCGCAGCGGACTTTGTCGGTTTGCTCGTTGCAGTCGTCTTCCCAATGAAACACACAGGAATCGCGTAAGAGAAGGCCCAACTTGGGATTCCCACCGAAAAGGCATTAGGAGCTTTTGCAGGTACAGTAGATGAGTGTGGAGGGTATCAACGGCCATGATCGTCACTTGCATGGCTTGCTTGATTTTCGGTGGCAGGCACTACTATCCAGAGGCTGACCCAGATGATTGGGTGTTCATCCCTGCAGGTCGGGAATCTCTGAGCGCCCACTTCTTTGGGAGTGCTTCCATGTGCTTTCAATCAAAGCAAAGAGGGATGTTTGGTTTGAATGTCTAGGAGGCTGTGATCATGCCTGGTTGCAGAGATGCACTTGTTACATGTTCTTGTTGTCACACTTAGATATAGGCTCCCAAGAGCAGAATCAGTTGTGAATGCCCAGTGCATTAACTCTTTAAGTGATTACATTAGACCTTGACTCGCACAACAGCAAGGCGATGGGTCATCACGCATTAGCACGTTACAGGAAAAGGAGGGTGAACAGCGTGTCAACGTCACAAAAACAGTGCAGGTACGTCTCCAAGGCGTCCCTTCTGGACCAATCTATCACTGTCTTCGTTGGGCAGTAAGTGATAGTGGTCCACTGCCCCCCTGCTGGTATTGTACAGTGTACAGGACGTTAAACGAGAGTTGAAATAGTAGTGTGTACAAACACACACACACACAAGGAGCCGTTGACGGCGCACAGTGGGCAAAAAACCTGCTCTACAACCTAACAAGCCTCTAGACTCCAGACACGAACAAAAAACACTTAGAACTTAGGAAAAGAAAGGGAAAGAGGAAGGAAAGTAGCTCCAAAAAATCTGTACACCCGCGGCTCGCACTTGACCAAAAACTTGATTACCAACCTAAAAAGCGTCTAGAAGAGAGAAAGACCTAGAAAGAGAAACAAAAGACAGGAGAGAACGAAAGAGGAGGGGGGGGCGTTTGTTTGTTGTGGGTGGTGTGTGGGGTGGTGGGTCGACTAAACGAGCCTGAAAAGCAACCTAACAAGCCTCAAGAAAAAGACCTAGGCGAAAGAAAGCCAGGGAGAGAAAGGGTGTGTGGGGGTTGTGTTGAGAGGCACTCGGCCATAAAACCCAATCCGGCGCACGCTTGACTGAAAAGGCCTCATTTAGGACCTAGCAAGCCTCTAGCTACGAACAAAAAGACCTAGAAAGAAGAGGGACCGAGTTGGATGATTAAAAATTGAAAGTCCTAGATACTTGCTACAGCATGAAATGCCATTCTGATTGAGCAATCAGTGAGCCTTGCGGCATTGAATCAGCGATCTCGAGCAAAATGAAAATCCGGAAGGATCGAGCAGGACGGAAAATTCAGGGGTGATCTCCCTTGAGGGCTTGTGCTAAAAGCGCCCGAAAAAATAGGGTTCACACAGTGCACCGCAGTGGGACGGCACTGCAGGTCACACTTAGATATAGGCTCCCAAGAGCAGAATCAGTTGTGAATGCCCAGTGCATTAACTCTTTAAGTGATTAGACCTTGACTCGCACAACAGCAAGGCGATGGGTCACCGCGCATTAGCCCTTTACAGGAAAAGAAGGGTGAACAGCTTGTCAACGTCACAAAAACCGTGCAGGTACGTCCGGAAGGTGTCCCTTCTGGATGTCACGACCAACCTATCACTGTGTTCGTTGGGCAGTGCTTGATAGTGGTCACCTGCCCCCTGCTGGTACTGCGCAGGACGTTAAACGAGAGTTACAATAGTAGTGAGTAGTGCGTGGTGCCGCTAGAGACGGGGTGACACACACGCACACACACACACACGCACACACGCGTACCTGTTCACGCGCCCAAATGTATATAGATCCAGAGCGCTTCCTGTGTAATTATGGGCAGGGAACGGGAACGATTCTCAACCAGCAATCGCAATAGACAGAAAAACTAAGACCAGCAATCGCCCCCACCATACTAGCAATGGCCTCCAACCGCATAGCAATGGCCTCCACCCTACTAGCGATGGTCTCCACCCTACTAGCGATGGCCTCCAACCTAATAGCAGTGGCCTCCAACCTACTTGCGATGGCCTCCAACCTAAAAGCAATGCCCTAACCTGCTTGCGATGGCCTCGCCTCCTACCTACTTGCGATGGCCTCCGACCCAATAGCGATGGCCTACAACCTAAAATCCATGGCCTCCACCTCCACCCTACTAGCGATGGCCTCCAACCTACTCGCGATGGCTTCCAACCTACGAGTAATCGCCTCCAACCTACTTGCAATGGTCTCCAACCTAATAGCAATGGCCTCCAAGCTAATAGCAATGGCCTCCAACCTCCAACCTACTTGCGATGGCTTCCAACCTAGAAGCAATGGCTTCCAACCTATTTGCGACAGCCTCGAACCTAAAAGCGATGGCCTCCAAGCTACTAGCAATGGCCTTTGAACCCAAGTCAACGGCCTCCAACCTAGTTGCGATGGCATCCAGCCTAATGTAAAGTCAGGATTAAACCCACAAAGCCGCCGGAAATTGCCCAAATTAAAAGTAGTATTGGTTGTTGATTTCCACCCCTATGGTCTAGCTTTCCACCAGAAATCACCACCAGTTAATCCGAGCCCACAACCAGGTCAATTTTTCGTATTACTACTACTCCTCCTCCTTCTACTCTTTCTACTGCTACTACTACTACTACTACTACTACTACTACTACTATGACTATGACTACGACTACGACTACCACTACGACGACGACGACGACTACTACTACTACTACTACTACTCCTGCTACTACTTTTATTTACTACTAGTACCACCACCACCACCACTACTGCTCCTCCTACTACTACTACGACGACGACGACCACTACGACGACTACCACTACCTGCTACCTACTACCTACTACCTCCTACCTCCTACCTACTACCTACTACCGACGACGACTGCGACTACGATTGCTCCCTGAGCAGATTATTCAGGGGGAGTAGACCTCATGAATGGAATCTCAGTCCTGCTAGACCTTCTAGACCTTCCACGGGGGGGGGGTTATTAATCCAGTCTTCGCATTAATAGCGATGGCCTCCAACCTAACAGCGATGGCCTGCACCCTACTAGCGATGGCTTCCAACCTGATAGCAATGGATGGCAACCTGATAGCAATGGCCCGCACCCTAGCAGCACCAGATAGCGATGGCCTCCACCCTAACAGCCACGGCCGCGGCCTCCAACCTAATAGTGATCGCCTCCAACCTAATACCGATGGCCTCGAAACCATCTTTCAGTGGTATAGTTGCAAGCAAGGTATCGGACGATTGACATTCCGTGGCTGGCTTGCAGCTGCCCAATGCATTGTGCCCAGGTGTTCGTGCTCAGATTATCAAGAAGGCCAGATGCTGATAAAATTTTGTTACTTCACTTCCATGCGTTGCCTTTAAAGCCTTTGTCGATGCAAACACAAGGGTTGCAGGACTGCTTTGTAGGACTGCTTGGCTTCTGCTTTTAGCATGGCCAGGACCCAAAGACTGGCAAGGGCATGCTGCAATTCGGAACTGAGGCGCTTTGTGTACACTCAAAAACCACTTGAGACTCAAAATGGCATGAGACCTGTTGCTCATGTGATAGTATTTTTTACCTCGTGACACAAATTACAGATCCACTCACAATATTATCAGACAGCACCTACAAAGGGCGGCTAATCATATCGACATATTGGAACCAAACATATATCACATTGACAACAGGTGATAGACATCCTTGCACCTTGATGTCGGTTTGTTGGTAAACGTGTCCAGATTATGTAGAGTTGTGATGTTCGATTTAGGCGAAGCATACCCCGAAGATCCCCGAAGCATACCTTCTGCAAATGCTACTATATACGTTACTCTTCGCACTGTGCGAAGCATACCCCGAAGCATACCTCCGACGCATAAACATCTCAGCACGGGAACGGCAAGAAATATAAAAATACACTCCCATGTACCTTATCATTACCTTTTATCATGCTGCTCCCCTGATGAGGTTTCTTTGTACCCTTGCCACACAGGTGGTGACTGGTGAAAATGGCACAATTTGTGGCCTGCTGGGCGCATCTCCCGGCGCCTCCACTTGCGTCTCGATTGGCCCGGTCCTCGACTGCCTAGAAGTGATGGCCTCCAACATAAGGTCATGCTCTTGACTTGCCACATATGTGTTTCCATGATTTTCCATGTGCTAAAGTACGTAGACAAGATTCGCGATGTAAGTCAGTGGTGACCTTGTTTATCAGTGGCTTGGTGCAAAAGATTGAGTTGGGTTGTAAGCTATCGGCTATAGGTGTACGTACCTGAGGTCAAGCTATGAGATTTCCCAAGACAGTACGCATCCTATGCTCCAGTGTGAAGATGCTTTAGGAAATTTCCATGAGCCCCCCTATCCTCGCTGTTGTCTAAGCGAAAAGGTATGAATGAAAAGGGGTTTGTAATATTTGTCCAACTTAAGCAACAGAGGCAAAGCAGACATATTCGCTGGAAACCTTCCGCCCTTGCTGCCAGCCTTGGCTGTGATTGAGAAGTGCTTCGGAAATTCCCCGGAGTTCAAGAAGTGGAGTCCCAAGCTTAAGGACGGTGTGGTAATTTGACTGAACAACTTCCTTCAGCACAGATAGCTTTCTTCTCGATTCAGACGGGTAGGGCATTCCGGAGCAAGACCAAAAGTAGCAGCGGGATGCAGGCAATTTTTTTCCTATACTCTAGCACTTTAACAAGCCTTGCTGTTCCCACTGCCAGAGGAGGGCCAAGACCCAAGACATTTGGAGAACTGATGAGACGGTCATGCGAACAAACACGACCCAAATGAACAGTTTGTGCTCATTTTTTGTAGTGCTTTCCTGCTACACACACAAGAGTTGATGTCCCGGGTCGAAGGTAATCGAAGTCTAGCGCAGATCTTTGGGGATTTTTTTGCATGCAGCAATTTGCACACCCCTGCAATGCAGAGGAGATGATTCCTAGCTGGTCTCCTGATGTTGCAGCAGGAGACATGAAGAAGGCCCGGTGAGAACTGCCAGGCTTAAATACTGTTGCCTTTGTTTGTGAGTTGAACAAGCAATGAATCAAAGCTCAAGGAAGCGGCAATAGCAACAGTCCAAGCCTGTAACGCTTTGCTCGGGGAATGAGAGCGTGCAACAGAAGATTCATGCACATCATTGGTTGTTGCCTCATTCGTGACACCTTAGAAGTTGTCAGGTCACGCCAGACATTGTCCCTTGCTTGGAGAATCAACGGCACGGGTCAGCTGTTTTGCTTTCGCTTCTATTATACAGTATACACATATCAAAATCGTTTGCTTGATGTTGTGTTCCGGGCAAATACCATTTCTTGGCTTCCGAAAGGAGTCGGGTCCCATTGATTTGGGATCTCAAAAGACTGACAACTGTTTTTTTGTTAAGCACATGTAAAACACAAACATCACGCGGTCTCGCTCTGGTTCCAGAAGAACAAGAAGAAGAGGAAGAAGGAGAAGAACAACAGCAGCAGCAGCAGCAACAGCAACATCAACTACTACGACTACTACTACTACGACCTCCACTCCTCCTACTACTACTAATACTACTACCTACTACCTACCTATCAATTATCAACTATAAGCTATCAACTGCTAGCTACTACTTGTTCTATCTTGTTCTATGTCTTTTTCTTCGAGTGCAGAGAGGTCTCTAGAGAACGGAATGTGACTGGGCTGTGCCAGGTCATGGATACAACAACAGCAAACGCAACACCAACAACACAGTCTAGATATAGATAATATAACATACATATACAGGAATATATAGTTAATGGAATGTTTCCCCGCGCTACTTGTACCCCAGTATCCTTGTGCCACCAAATCACTTTTGGCTCGTTGCAAGACCAAGACGGGCTTGGCGGGCAACGCAAGGAATGCTTTCAAGTATATCACAATAGTATAGAAATCCCATTGGGCTAGTATGGTCTACTGGCTATGACACATCCCTGCATCGGACCTGGGTTCAACCCCCGAGTGCAACACTAGGCAGACAGGCGGGCCACCACCAGCCCTGCAGTTAAGGGGATGAGCTAGGGTGTGGAGTGTGGACCTAAACACACAACAACATATTATACAGTATATACCCCAATGTTTGAGCAGGCCTGGGATTGGAGTTCTGTTCTTTGTTGGCTGTATGTCGTTCCCAGGTTGTTGTCTTGGTTTTTCCGCCTTTTGTTTCTGCGTAGCTTTGTCCGTTTGTTTGTCACCTGCTGCCTGCCTATTGCTGCTTGGCTTCTCGGGTTTTTGTTGCCTTTTGTTGCAGTCCTTCCCCCCTGCTTCGCATTCCTCCTTTTGCTTTCAGCTTTAGCCTGCCTATTGTTTTGTCTTCTTGTTTTGTCAGTTTTCAGCAGTTCTTTGCCCTACTTTGCTTCTTTCCTTTTCTCAGGTGCGCTGCTTGATTCCCTTGTTTCCTTTGTCTTCTTGTTTTCCCCTTTCTTTCCGTGGCCAGCTTCTTTGACACATTTGCGACTGGATCGCATGCTGCCCTTCTCTTTTGCGTTGTGGGGCTATTGAAAGTTTGTTGCTGCAAAGGCACTGAGTTGGTGAGGCTGCTGGAACATTTCAAGACATGAAGAGTACCCAATGCCACAAACGACTGGAAGGCGGGTGCGGGGGCAGCGTGCACCTTGCAGATTCCACCCCCGCATCAGCTTCAATAAACAGACGAAGACCACAGTGAAATGTTTGTTCGAGAGAGACATGTTGAACTGGTGTTGCCGGTTGGAAGGTTTGAAACCAAAAACGGTTGAAGGAAGACAGCGCCTAAAACAAGGCATACACTGGCCAGAAGAAAGTTGCGCTTCTTGATGTTGAAACTCATGACAACCCTATCCCCCTAGAATCCTACACCATGAGACAAGGGAAGGTGTGGGCGGTCATTTGTCACCCCGGAAAGCCTTATTTATTATAAACTTAAATGGGTGTGATAATTGACCGTCCCACACCTGCCACGAAAATTAGACTTGTTAATTCGATCCGCCGCTGACCTCAGAGTGTTTTGTAAGAAGGCTAACAAGCGTAAACTTTTGTCTGCCTGAAGTATTGCAACCATGGGACACACACACACACATATATATATATTTCACCTTTTGAGAAAGGTCATATGTTGTAACATCTCACCCAGGACATCTCAGGACAGTTAAAACTTGCCACGCATAAATCCAAAGGGACGGTCACGGACGGTCGCGAAATTAATTTTCAATAATTTTCAGCAATTTGAATGACGCCCCTCCGTTGTGACAACGAGACGGTCCAGCTAAGCATGTTCCAGCTAATAATAACAGCAGAAACCCCATTTCCTTTGCGTGACGTTTCGAGTTGTCTTGTGCAGTTGAGGGCATGTGAACCAACCTGAAGCCCTTTCTTGTCAAAGGAAAACAGGAACTCAGCTTTTTGAGAGTTTGGTGGGTTATGAGCCCAACCTTACCTACCTCTGCGTGCTAGAGCCATGTCAGAGCATACCTCCGAGAGAACACCTGAGTCGAATGGACCAAGGGCGATTGAAGACATACAACCAGAGCATGGAGCTTTGGTTCGACCTAGTGGACCGCCTACGACTTTGGGACCTCAAGCTCAGGTGAACCCCTTTTGGAGTGAGACACAAAGAGATGAAGCGATCTTGAGAGCCTGCCGACCTTCGCACCTGTGTAGGGAGATTCCAGAGGTGGCGCCACCATCAGTGACCGCAGTCAGTCCTCCGCGAGAAGCGCCAGATGCTGTAGGGATGATGGTTCATGGCTTACTTCAAGAAAATGCGAGGCTGTGGTCGGAGAGAGAAGTTGCTGGTCCGGGAGGATGGGGTCAACATGTGATGCCATTTGGTAGCCAGCAGTCGATGCTCGGTGGGGTGCTGGGTGAACCTCAAGGAAGAGATGTGTTGGGGGCTTTGATGGACATCATGAAACCATCGTGGGGCTCCTCGTTTTCTCAAAGTGACAAAGGCTTGTTGGGGGCTCTGTCAATGCCGGTGGACCTTGGTGGGGGCTGGATGTCGTCGCGGCCGGAGCAGGGTTTTTTCGGTGGTTCGACTCAAGCGCATCGTGGGAACTTGCAAGTTCAACTTTGTTTCAACTGGAGTTTTTTCCAGGCCTATGCAACCACATGGAGGTCCTGATTGGGGTCGTGGTTCAATGAGTCAGGGGGCTTTTAGCACTCGTCAAGATGGTTTGGGACAAGGTGGAGGTAGTTCCACTGGACGAGGAAGCCAGGGTCAGAGTGCGGTAGAGCCTTCGATTCATGAACCTCCACGAGATGCTAACCAACCTTGGGGTGATCTTTCTGGTGTTCCAGCAGTGCAATCTGGTGGGAGTGAAAATGGAGGTCCAGTTCAGGGGGGTGCTGGTGGTCTTCCTGGGGATCCTTGTGGACAAGGAGAAGGGGTCAGCCGCTGGGTTCAGAAGGTGGTCACCCTCGCGGTGGTCTGCCGCTTGGAGGAGGGAATCCAGTGGACTTCCAACTGGGCCTGGTGGTCATCAGGGAGATGGAGGTCCTGGTGGTTACCCTGGTGATGGTGGCCATGAGGGGTTTTCCAAATGGAGGATTTCCTGGCGGATTTCCGGGTGGGGGAGGATTTCCGGGCGGCGGAAGTTTTCCGGGCGGCGGAGGATTTCCTGGTACCTGGAGGAGGCTTTCCGGGAGCACCGTTGGGATGTTTGGTCCAGGTCCTGGTGGAAATGTTCCTGCATGGCTTGGTGGTTTGGTGGCGCAACAAGAATCTGTTCGTGCCGTGGAGTTGCCGCCGCTGCCAGAGTTGTCAGAGTCCGAAGTGGGACCGCTTTTGGCAGGAGATTGGATGACCACGATCGGTCCTTTCCTCAGAGATATGAGGTGCTGAGGGTGGCTGGCGCCCTATACCGGGTTTGGTTGGGGTTGGAGCCGATGGAGAGGTTGAGATTGAATCCAGTATCACCTCAGGCATTTCAGTCACCGCCATGGCCACCGCCTTTGAGAGCTCGAGCGGGACCTCAACGTTTTGCTTCGGAGAACTTGTCGGATTCCCTTCGTGAGCTGGCTTGGAATGATGTGCTTTGAATGAGGCAATTGTGGCTCTATGCACTGGCAGCCAAGGCGAGACAAAGGGACGTTCTGTTCTTGAAGGAGAATTCCAGGGACCCCGAAGAGTACAAGGGAGGAGATGACCCGGTCGAATATCCCTCGTTCTTTGCGTGGCCGGAGTGGAGGACCTTCACTCAGGAGTTTCAGATCCGGGAGGTCAGACTGGACTTTGGGGCATTGGGGCATCCACGAAGAAAGCCTACATCGTTGCCGGCATGGGGAACTACCTTCAGTCTCACGCAGTGCCGAGGAGAGGTCATCGGAAAGTCGGTCGTGGGCTCCCTGGCCGACTTTAAGACTGAGGTTATCAAGGGCGTCCTCCTTGAACTCGAGCAGGACAAGGCCAAGGCCAGATGGGAAGAAGATCCTATGGTGGCTAAGATGACCTCCGAGCAGTGCCGACAGCATGTGATGAATGACCACTTGCCGTACTCCAGGGAGTGTGCCACCTGTTTGCAAGGAAGTGGAAGGAGCCACACAAGAAAGTGCCGCACGCCGATGCCTTCACGTTGAGCGTGGATATATGCGGACCTTTTCGACCTGGTCATGAGCGTTTGAAGAAGGCCAAGTACTTCATGGTGGGGGTATTTTCCATTCCGGTCAGAAAGGTGGAGGGTGAAGTCGCTACACTTCCACTGGCTCTGGAGGAGATGAAGGCTGGTGTCAAGCCGGAAGAAGAGGTAGAGGAGAAGGAGCTGCAGCCGGCCATAGAGGAGGAAGAAGTGGTTCGGCAAGAAGGAGATCCGCGGCTCCTAGAAGAATGGGAAAGGTTGGAGGTTGAGTCCCAGGAGGTGGAGATCCAAAACTACACCATGGTGGAGACCTTGACCTCGGCAAGGAGTCGAGGTGAAGACGTGCCTGGCAAGAATGGTTGCTCGCTTGAAGTACTTCGGCTTGGAAGTCAGGAGGGTGCATAGTGACGCAGCGGGTGAGATGCGGGACATGAAGAAATGGTGTGCAGACCGTGGCATTTATCGCAGCTTCACCTGTGGCAGCGATTGGAAGGCCAATGGTCGCGCAGAAGCCGAAATTGGGGTGGTGCGCAGGGCGGTCAACACGCTCATCAAGGCTTCTGGAGATGGTGAGGAGTACTGACTGGCCGTTGATGGCCAAGCATGTGGGAGAAAGGAGAAGCCGACAACAATTGGCTGTTCTGGGCTTGGTCACACCAAAGCTGCTGTTTTGGGGACAACGGGTCATGATCACGACCAAGGGGTGGGATGACTTTCAAGGTCACTGGAGGGCCAGAAAGAAGGCTGGAGTAGTTCGCGGTCCAGATCCGGATATGAGTTTGACCAGCGGAGGCCATTTGAAATTTTGGTGGAGGTGGAAGACGGGAAGTTGATCCGCGCCGATGACATGGTGATTCCCGGAGATCCTCCAGCTCTGGCAGACGTGGTGGAGGTTGAAGCTCGTGAAGAACCAGCCAGCATTTTGGACCGTGCGGTCAAACCGAGGAGAAGGTTGACTGAGAAGAGTGGGCTAACCAAGAATTCCAGCACTTGGATCACTTGGAAACCAGTTCACAGAAGGAGGTGGAGATTGCCACGGTGAACGAAATGGACCTGGAGAATACCGCTCTTGAGAACATGGTTGAAAAGTCGGGAGTGGCTGTGAGAAGAATGGAAGCAGACGCTCTGGAGGCTGCCATGGAGGAGGGTGAGACATTTCTTCAATCCAGAACAATCAGCCTGAATGAGGTCAGGAAGAACCTTCCGTTATGGATCCCACCATTTAAGGATGAGATCGGCAACTTTGACTCCAATCAAGCCATTCAGCGTGTCACGGAGGAGGAAGCGATGACCATGGTGCAGGAGGCAGAGGACCAAGGGAGAAGAGCGGAAATCATTCCTGGAATGGGCGGAAAAAGCGGGTGACGGAAGGAGAAGGGCTCGGATTGTCTGCTGTGGAAACTATATGGAGACCAGGACCGGTGATGAAGTCTACGCCTCTGGAGCCGATTCAACCCAGTTGAGGGCTACCCTTCGAGTGGCGTCGCTGAACAACTGGCACTGCTTGTCCTTAAACGTCAAATCGGCTTTTCTCCTTGCTCCCAAGGCTCAAGGGGATTTGGTCATTGTGAAACCGCCCAAGGTGCTGGTCGATGCTTCGTTGGCAAAGCCCGGAGAACATTGGGTGGTTACCTCGGCCATGTACGGCTTGGTGACGTCGCCGAAAGACTGGAGTGTCTACAGAGATTCGGAATTGAGATCAATGAAAGGGGAGTTCAATGTGCCTGAGGTCGAGGGTGGTGAGGTCTTCGTGCAGGAGAAGGAGAAGGGCATGGACACCAGGTGCTTTGGGTTTCGTCCTTTGGAGGACTCCAATTTGTGGGCCATCCAAGAGTGGGAAGATGGTTCCGAGAAGACGACCGGGGAATGTGGAGAGGTGTTGGGCTACATGATTGTGTATGTGGACGACGTCCTCATGGTTGGTTCTCGACCAGTGACCGATGCAGCGTCAGCCACAATCAAGAAGATTTGGTCGACGTCAAATCCTGAGTATGCCGAACCTGGTGGGGCACCTATGCGGTTTCTCGGCATTGAGATTGAAAGGTTGGTGAATGGAGCGTACTACTTGCACCAGGGCTGCTATGTGCGGGAGGTTCTGGACAGGCATGTGAGCTCGTCGTTCATCAAGGTCCCAGGAGAGGGAGGAAGATGCTCTGTCGTCACAGTGGGCAGTGAAACGACCAAGGACGGTGGAGCTGGGGGAGGCGATTCTATCCTATGCGCGGTCTCCAGTGGATTTTGGCCCGGTCTACCCCGTCAACGTGCCGGTAGATGACGATCCTGATTTGGTCAGGAAGCATCCGAGGAAGAGGGGCACCATTGAGGTTCTTGTGGATGCATCGTTCAGTCCCGGAGAAGCTCACAGTGTGTCGGGAACTATAGTTCTCCTGGCAGGATGTCCGGTGCAGTGGGAAAGCCGCAAGCAGAGTCTCATGTCATTGTCCACTGCGGAGTCGGAGCTAACTGCATTGGTTGAAGGGCTGCAGACAGGGAGATCCGTTCGGGCACTGATTGAACTCCTGATCGACGATGTCACCCTCGAGCTCTACAACGACAATAGAGCGGCAGTGGTTTTGGCTTCAGGGTCCGGAGGAGGATGGAGAACTCGTCACCTTCGCATTAGGGCGAGATGCCTTTCAGAAGCCTTGAAGTTGGGCGAGGTGACCCTTAGTCATCGGATGGGAACCTCATTGTGGGCCGATGCTCTCACGAAGGCACTGCCAGCCCAATCTTTGGATCGCTTCTGCAGAGGTGTGCTCGTTCGTTCAGGCCAAGAACACAAGATGATTAAGACACAGAACATGCAGGTGGAGGAGAGTGCGAAGATTTCCAAATGTGTGGCAATGATGCTTGCAGGTGTCTCTATGATTCCACAAGCGGCGGGCAGTGAGGTGTGCGAGAAAGGTGAGGCTACGGCTCAATCTACAACCTCGATGATGGGAGATTTGGGGTGGTTGGTGATGCTGGCAGGGCTTGTTTGCTTCTTGCACCTGGTGAAGGACCTTGGACTGGGGTGGCTGAGACGTTTGGTGGCTGGGAAGGAGTGCATTAAGGTGAAACTTTTTGAGGAGGATGCCACTACACCACACAGAGAGTCACCTGGTGCAGCGGGCTGGGACTTGTCCACGTGCATGAGCGTTCAGATTGGTCCAGGAGAACGGAAGTTGGTTTCCACTGGAATCGGAGATTCCCAAGGGATGCTATGGAAGAGTGGCATCTTGCAGTTCCCTGGCGTCAAGAGGTCTGGAAGTGGTAGGAGGTGTCATCGACTCAGACTATCGCGGGGAGGTGAAGGTCATTCTTGTGAACCACGGGAACCAGGAGGTTTCTTTCGAGGTGGGTGACCGCATTGCGCAGATTGTCATTGAGAAGATTTCTGAGGCCCCGATGATGGAGGTGAGTGATCTATCCAGCTCTGCTAGAGGTGGTGGAGGGTTTGGAAGTTCAGGCTTGGCAGTCAGGAGTGTTCGGACAACGACGGGCACTTCAGGAGGTGAATCACTACATCATGAACGACCTCGAGTACAAGAAGGGGTACCACGTGATGAAGGAGCTCTACGAGAGAGTGAGAAGGGAGTTGAAATGATGAACATGCCGATCCCAAGGAACCTGGACTTCGAGACATACGCGTCACGGGCTGGGGAAGACATGACCTCTTTTCTGGGGAGGTTGAGACTGTTGAGAGATGAGGAGCTACCTGATGTGGCCTGGCTTTTCAATCCCAGCGTGATGAACATCCTCGTGGTCAAGCCGTCGAATGGAATGACCCATGAGTGTGTGCTTCGCTTTCAGGATATCGAGGGGGTTGTGACAGTGAAGATTCTTCGACATGGTGGGTGGCGAAAGAAGATCTTCGACAGCGATCTGGCTTTGCCCATTACGGCGACCGGCTTATCCTCAAAGGTTGTCACTGTGGCATGGCTGGATGATGGCCGCTTGTTGCTGCGATCAGATTGTCGAAAGGGAAGCCATCAAATGCACTATCTTCGCCAACGAGGGTTTGGCTACAGTATCCTGATGCGCTCCGCTCCGGTAAACCATTGTCGAGTGCTTCGGGAAGTGCTGGATGGTGCTAGGTTTGGCACAAGAAAAAGAAAAGAGGGGTTCTGAGCTTGAAGGATTTTTGAAGACATGGCGTCAGTGCATGTGTGCTTTTTTGCTGCGGGAGCATGGAAGTGTTTTTCCTTTGTGTTTGATGCTGGATTCGAATGGGAGAATGTGGCTTGACGTTGTTTGGGATGCACCGCCTTAGAACCTGCTGCTTAGAAAGGCACTGAAGCACTGAGAGGGAAGGGGCTTGAGCTTAGAGCTTACCTCGATGAGGTTCTTTGAATTTTCATGTGAATGTGCGAATAGGGCATATAATACTTCGAGTTGGGGTTTCTAAAGTCCCAGCTTCGCAAGGGAGGGGAGAGCAGAAACCCCATTTCCTTTGCGTGACGTTTCGAGTTGTCTTGTGCAGTTGAGGGCATGTGAACCAACCTGAAGCCCTTTCTTGTCAAAGGAAAACAGGAACTCAGCTTTTTGAGAGTTTGGTGATAACAACACTGGAGGTGTCGTCAGGCTTCATTTTGTACTAGCTGGGTGCTGATGTGGCTAGACTTGTTGATTTACCCAAATGTCTTTGTCGGGCAAGATGAACCACTGCACAAACGCAGTGCCTTAGGGTCCTAGTAGATCTAAGAGGGAAGCAGGCTCAAACACCATTGGAGTAGGGCGTGCAGGTTTTGAATGTATGTTTTCGCTAAAGCAGACAATGAACCAACAAAGTACAGCAAATAATGCACCTGCCCAGCATCCAATGAACCTATCCAGCAAACCACATCAAGCACCGATCCACATGATTTCTGGCGACGACCACCAACAGGACCGACTCATGAAAAAGCACTCAAGAAGCAGTCAACCAAGACAACAAGCTAGAGGACCGACCAAGCATCCAACCAGTCAAACAACCAAGCATGCAAGCAACATCAAGTCACACCACCGAGCGAGACAACCAGCCGGAACCTTTAGTTGGCCAAGCGCCTCAGACAACAGATCCTTAGCCATGCTAGACACCCTACATTGATCGAAAGTACGGACCTTAAGCTACTCAACTGGAACAAAAGACCGAAACCATAAGGCCGAGTAGCAGAAACTTCTGCGAGGCTTGAGGTGTTTGTTCTTTGATTTCCTTCGGGCCCTTGCCGAAACGTGAAGTCAGAAATCCACTAGGGCTTTTAATATCTGTAGAGCTTGAAACCTAGCATGTTGTAGCTTGCCTGGATTGTGGGTTGGGATCCCTGCAAACCAAAGGGCTTATAATGGCCTTTTGCCCTCTGGCACTAGCTCCTTCCTCCAGCCAGCCTCTGCCTGGTTGCAAGTCCCTTGGCTGACATCGATCAGCTGACGGTGCGTCTTCGCTTAGGTGGACAACATCTACAAGACAACCGGCTCAGCGCTTCAAATCTCTCCTAAGTGAGAGTGCAGGCACAAGGTGCTTTAAGCCGCATTATTTGCAAAAGGTAAACAAGTCAAAGGAGTCTTGAAACAGTCCACTCAAGGACTCAAGGATCACCCGGAAACTTTTTCAGATGTCTTCTTTTGGGCCAGTACACGTATTGTTATTTTTCGGCACCACACATTTGCTCTTGCTCTCGCCAGGCTTGTGAACAAGTGAGTGGCATTGATTAATAACCGCCAAACGTGAGTGAAGATGTTTCTTGTGGCCCGGGTTGCGTGCAAACCGATACGGTTGCACGGTTGCACGTGTATCATATGGTCTGCTTCTGGCCTTGACACCTGTCACCTGTGCATAGACTTGAACGCACAGTAGATATGCTTCTGAGCCACCCTGACAACCTGCAGTTGTACACTGAGAATAGGGATGGACATCCATCTCACACCAACGGGTAGATCCAGTTGTTTGCCAGATGTCCTTGCCACATGAGAGACTTTGGTTCGAACAGTATTTTGTATGAAGAGACTAGTTTGTGACTTCGGGTTCATGCAGTCTGTATGGTCAAAATAACTGAGTCTGGGACAATGCAACCCTGAACCAACACACTGTTCCTATTCCATTGCTGAGAAACCTCCAAAAGACTGCACCAATTCTCGTACCCTTTCACGTACCAATACACTTCACTTCAGTGTTTTGCATAGAAACTTGACGAAACTTGAAGAACACTTCAAGAGTCCGTTTTTGTTCTTATTGTGTACAGTAAATAGCATTAGGGTCCTCCACAAACAAGGAAAGCACAGAGCACCGCTAAGCCGCTACGCACAGTTTTGTAATTTTTGTTTCTGTCAGGCATGCCATGGGTGTTTGATTGCAATCATTCCTTTTGCTTCCTTATTCTGTGCAGACGAAGTCTTACCAATGGTTTGCATTCATATATCATCATCGAGTACCTTCGTTTCATTTCGTTTCTTTATTTTATGATCAAGTGCCCTTCACATCATTTGGTAGCGCTCGGCTCTTGCTGATTTTGCTTGATTGAGAATGCACGGGGCATTTTCCATGGCCAGGCTGTTCGAAAGCAGCAATGTCTAAAACGATACGTTAAAGTGCAGGATACACTCTCATCGTCACAGCATTTCATTGGCAGGGCAGTGCTGCACTACCTTTGGCGCTTCAGGTAGCCGTTTCGCGCGCATGTGAGGAGTGTAGTATGTTCGTGGGTTGTCTCAGGGGACAATGCAACGAGCCGGATAGATTCAGAGCAAAAGAGCCACACGGCCTTACTCGAGCGTGTTTTGACACTCTTGTTCTGATTTCTGTTTCTGCTTGAGTAGACACTTCAGTGTCATTGCACAGATGAATGAACTTGGGTGTGGCTTTATGCAAATTGAAACAGGCACGGCACAGACGCATGCTTGGCGCACACTCTGGCTGAAGCCTGGCACACATCCCCGGGCATTGCCCGCGTCCGCGCGGTTGCCATGCTTGCGGGCGGATATGTAGCTCCTCCGTGGGTAGCCACAGACAATCTGCGCATGACATGGTTGGCTGTGCTGCAGTGTAGACCAAATGTTGAATGGTTTATATCAAGTGTGTTCTGTGTGGAGGTGCCTTCCAGATGCAAAGTATCGCGAACCTTGGGGTACATTCCAGATGCTTTGAGAAGATTGATAAGATGCTTTGATAGGACATCACGAGCTGTTCAAAAGAAAGGTTGAAACGCTGGTGCATGCGTTTGTGTGCTGCAGTCTTTTTGTTGTTTCTTCTAGTGCAAGGACCCCGGTAACCTTGGTCGAAACATACGACTAGGTCCTAGTCTAGGTACGTTTTGCAGCGTCGAGATCAGACATTTCAGTTACAGTTACATCTTCTATCATTTTCTGATGTCTTTGGAGAAGCAGGGGTGGCCCCTCACTTCAACGCACATCATCTTGTTTGTTTTCAGTTCGGCCTGTAACATGATCTCCAATGTCACCATGTGCCACCCATGATTCATTGCTGCCATTTGATCCGAAAATACATTGTCTAAGTGGCTCCAAATGGGTCCAAGTGGGCAAGTCACTCCAGGCTTGCTGAGAAGCTGGATGCCTGGCACTTCTCCAATTCAGGCAGTAATTCCGGCAATTCAGGCTTTGTTCTTTGGTGTGATGATTTCTAAAAGGTCCAAGGGGATCTCTTACTAAAAGTATCTTTCGCTATACATAATATGTACAAATGAGTGAAAGTTTCAAACAAATATGCTTCTTTCTGTTTAAGCTTTCGATTCTTTGTCGACCTTGCCTTTTTCTTTCTTCTTCGGCCTTGTTCAGTGACGTGCAGTGTAATTATGCTCCTCACTTGTGCATGTGCTGTGAACGTTGTGATATGCCTCTTGTTTTCTATTTCTTCCTGCACCCAATTGACCATCACGCAGTCAACATTTTGTCGAAGTCATGGGAGAGCAACCCCTTCATGTCAGGGTGGATGGTCTCAGAATTCGCAAGTTCTCCCCTTCTCGGCCGGGTTGGATGTTTTCCGGAAATTTCCAGAATACGTAGCGAAGGATTCTTGATGATTCTTGTTTAAAAGACTCTGGAGGCCCAATGTTTGAAGGCATGACACAGACCTCACTCCTGAAAATCACAATAGAAATGCAAAATGCAACAGACAGAAACACATTTGTAACAATGTTTTTTGTTAATTGCTTGTGAAAGCAGTCATGTTTGGTCAAGGATGCGTCATACACGTGACATGATGCTGTGTTTGCCACCATTGTCAATCGTTGTCAAACGTTCGCATGATCGCGCCTTCGCGTGGGGTAAGCTTCTTAAGGAGGTGTTGGATGGAAGCGTAACGTAACGTGTAAGATTGGTGTGAAACGGCAGCACGGCATAGAAACGTGACTTTCCAAGTGTGAAGGACAATTTCGCGGTGCAGGCGCAGCGTTTTGTGAGGTTGACGATGTGTGTCGCCCTGCCATTGGGATTGGTGTTCCCAGGTTGGAGGTGTTGAATGTCCCTCCGCTATTGGGTCTGCTGTCTCGAAACTGCATTTTCATGACAAGTCTCAGCTAGAAGATGCTAGAAGTGCGACTTTGAATGATGTGGGTGAAGCAGCAAAGTGGCGTGGTGCAAATCTTGCAAGCGACATACACTGCAATGCGTGGCATAATTATATACTTTTAGATTTTTTTCGTGACAGGAGCCGAACTTTGTGCGTGCTGGTGGTGTTGAGAGTGGGTCTGCAATGGCGGGTGCAGGAAATTGAGAGGGCGTGAGCGATTGTGCCATTGGGATTGGCTTGTCGGCGGGCTCTCTTTGGAGGGGCTTGGATTCCTGGATTGCAAAACTGCCTGGCAGGGCTGCATGATGACTGCGCTCCGCTTTTGGAGAAGGTCTCGGACGAGAGTCTCGTGTTGTCTCGTACGAAGTGCTCGTATTCGAGGCTCGACACGAGATTTGTAGAAGAAGTCTCGTATGAGATGCTCGTTGTAAAGTGTCCTACAAACGCGTCAAGCAAGATGTGTTAAGAAAGATTAGTGCCCCATAGTGTCAAGCAAGAGTGTCTTAGTCTTAGAAGTGTCGGCTGCAAGAGTGTGCAGAAGAGAAAAAGAGTGCCACGTTAGAACGTCTTACACCAGTGTCAAGCAAGAGTGTCTTATGAAAGTTTCCTACAAGAGCGTCGCACTGTCCCCTAGCAGTGTCCCACAATGTCCTACAAGACTGATGCGGAAGAGTGTTCAGCAAGAGTGGCCCCCAAAGATTTCTCACTAGAGTTGCCAGAGTCTGAGATCTGATACTCAAATTGTTTTGTAATCGGGTCTGTGGATTTCACGTCCTCTTTGGAGCCTTTCTAATTCTTCTATATTGTTCTATATACTGTACTGTATGTTATTCTGATTTGCGGGATTTACGGGCCAGTTATATAATCGATGTTAATTGAGCTGTCGTGCTGTCCACAACCTACCGAGGCCTACAGGTGCAACATCTGCGTGGTTAACATGTATTATCCGTATTTATGCAGTTGATCGTGATGAGTTGCTGATCAGTGCCATCGTGTCATCATTGTCAGTGGCAGGGACATGCTTGCTCTGTGAAACGTTGTCCACCTAGATCAGCACCCTCTTCACTTACTTTCCTTTGGGAACCCTGTGTGCAGAAGATGGTCCGGTGCCCGCCAACGTGGCTGCTGCGCTCGCAGCACAGGACAGCCTGCATACCAATTTTTGCAGTTAGCGGGAAACTGAATGGACATGCTGGTCCGTTGTTTTTTTTTGGTCCATGTTGTTTAAAATCATTTTTTGTCCTTGAGTGAAGGCAAAACAGAACAGAGAACATTGTTTGCAAATTGCAAGTGAATCCGGCCAGTTGACGCCAATATTGCCAACCCAACTTATCAGGGGTCCAGAATGACCGAACACATTGAACACCGAAAAGCGGCTGGAGGCCATGGGCTTCGCACCTGCAGTTCTGCGAGACGAAGGATAGCAGTCACAGTGGAAATCCATGAAATGTCAAGTGGCGAGTTGTTGCCCGAGTTCAAAGTTCTAAATCCTTGTGTCTAGAGCCTCCACTGGCTCAATTGCAAGCTGTTGTTTATGCTGTATTCTTCTCTTGAGCTAGAACTTAGAAACAATGTCGCTCGTGAACAACTAGTTACTAGTTCGGAGGTGGCAAATGTTTGAATAGTTTGGTTATGTTCACGGGACCACTGAAAGGATTCATTTCCCTAGAGTATTGCTGGTAACTTTGTTTTAACTTCAGCCTTTTTCGTTGTTTGCGCAATAAGTCAGTCGCAACGGTTTCATCATTGTGGCAACATGTTCATTGAACCAAGACGATAAGTGCTTTGGTGTGGGCTTGCTGCAAAAGCAATGTTTCGGTGTGGCAGCTGGAATATGCTGGAATGGTCCAGTGCCAGAACCAGTGAAAAAGCTAAGACATTGTTCCTAGTAGCGTCCTTGCTCCTAGCAGTAAGGCCAGGAGCCCCTAGTAGCGTCCTTGCTCCTAGTAGCGATGCCAGGAGCCCCTAGTAGCGTCCTTGTATTTGATGTGGGTTGGTTTTGTCATATGTTTTTGGCAACACGACTTTCGTATGCCTAAAGGATTACGCTTTTGGGCGGCAAACTACACAGCACATGTTTTTGCACGTGTGCTAGGTTTGGAATGCATGTTTCGGATTGGCAGGCTAGGTGAATGAGGTATTATTGTCTGAACAGTTGTAAACGCTGTTATCTGCACCGTTGCGGGTAGAGTCCAAGTAAATGTCAATGCCTGACTTCTCTCCCCTGCTTTGCGTACTGCATGATGGCACATGCTTCGTTTACGGCCTCCACCACTTCGGCCTCCACCACTTTGTTCATCATTTCTGAGCAATATCTTCGAGATCAAGGCTCCAGAGTCAGCAGTCTACCCGAATCCCTTCGACAGCGAGGACGCTCTTGCCTTTTAAAACGGGATGCTCAGTTTCTGGATCCTTCTCTGGATTAGCTTCTGTATACAAGCTGTTCAATGGTCAAGGCCTCTGCCGGCCATGTTGTGTGCACCCACACTGCACAGTAGAGCGTGCATTTGTGTGTGTGAGGTGCCCCCCGGTTTGTATGGAAGCAGCACCAACACATTTGTGTGTGTGTTTTTTAATCAGCCGCCCGCCTAACCACGCGGCAAAAAAACAAGTGCGATGCACGTTTTGTTGCCTGGGTTTCACAGATTCTTGGCCCAGTGAGAGGAATACCATTGCGGGAACTTGGGGTGCATGCAGCGCCCCGTGCTGCTTCTCCAGCGCGCCAGGGCTTCTAAGTTGATGTCCAGGGGTCCAAGTTGTGAAGTCAAAGCTTTGCTCGTGCTTGGCAAGTGCATTTTGTTTCAGCAGTGTGTGTTGTGGGCTGAAATGGTTGGAGCAAGCGAAGGATATGGAGACATATACGACTCTGAGGGCGTGTTTGTTAGTTCTACTATACATTGGAAGGGCTTGATCAGGCCACCGAAAGTGAATTCCATTGCCGGTGGTCAAGGCCTTTTGAGCTGGACAGCCCCACCATTGTCGCCACGGAAGGGGGTAGAGATGAGACAGGCCGGGCAAAGCCCAAGGAACAACTCTTAAAGGGCTGTCCGAGGGAACCTTGAGAATGTGCGCGGGTCCTTGTTGTACTTGTGTTTGCTCAGGCCAAAGTTGTTCTGATTGCAATTGTTGTTGACATTTTAGCTAGCAACTAGCACCTGCAGGCAAACCCGGTGGCAGATCAAGAAAAGAGCAGGCAAGAGATGTCCAGTCTGAGGACATCGTTGTGGTTGTGGGGATACACATACACACATGCATGCCTGCCCGCCCACCTGCCAGCCCGCCCGCCCGCACGTATGTATATATATATATACTTATACATGTACGAATGTCTATATATATATATACACATTACATGTGTATATATATTGTGATTTGCATGCTGTTCTGTCCACACCACCATCGAGTCATCGGATGTTTCGTGAAAGCCATTCATGATCGCTTGTGGCCTACCTCTCAAGTCAGGGGGCTTGGGCGCGGAACCCATGTTGTTGGCCTGAGGACAGGCCTTGGAAGTGGCTTGGCTGTGGACAGCCTTCGTGGAACTCGGCCGTGGACGGCCTTCGTGGAGCTTGGAAGGAAAAGGCGCGAGGTCGCGCAGTCTTTGCAGGGAGGGCGAGGAAGCTACCAGTGTAGATACCAATCTACATTGGTAGCGGAGCCCGTGGGGCGACCGTGACCAAAGATTGCTGCATTGGCTAGGGAGCCATCTGTTGTTCTTGGTCGACGCAAGTCGCTAGATCCAGGATGCCAGAGACTCAGGAAAGCTCAGCCAGCACAGGTGGCGGACTCAGCTGGTCCTCGCTCTCGCACTTGCCCTGGCAGATGATACCGGTCTTTCGACCGGGCGAGACGGACATCAATGAGTACACCAAGCGCCTTGAGTTTATAGCAGATCTATGGCCTGTTGAACACCTCGCTCACCTGGCACCCCGTGCTGCCATGCTTTGCGAGGGAGGAGCCTTCAAGCGCTTGATGCGCCTGGACGCTCACAAGTTGAAAGTGAACAGCTTGGACGGCATCAAGCTGTTGATCACGACCCTCGGAGGAGTCTGGGGGAAAGCAAAGCATGAAGAGAAGCTTGAACGTTTTGAGAGGGCCATTTACTCGACCTCCCAGCGTTCGGATGAGACCCACGAGTCCTACTTGGCCAGGCATGACCACCAGTTTGAAGAGCTAGCCTCCCTCGGTGTCACCATCGAGGAGATGAGGGCTTACTGCCTGCTTCGCAACTCGGGGTTGCAAATGGATGAAAAGAAAAAGGTGATCATGGATTCAGGCGGCCGCCTGGAGTATGATCGAGTGGTTGCAGCATTGAAGTTGTTGGGTTCTCGCTTCTTCACCGAGCTTCAGTCCTCCAAGGCCACCACTCGCACCAAGACCTACGAGGTCGCCAACATGATGGATGAAGAGGAAGGCCACCATGGCCCACCGGATGACGAAGCTTTCTTCCAAGATGCTTGGGAGGACGACTCCTGGTTGTCCATGCCGGCTGACGAGACCGACCAGGACGTTCTTGTCGTACAGCAATTTGAAGAAAGTTTGATCGATGTGCTCCAAGGGGACCCTGAGACAGCAGCTTGTTACAACACGTACTTGGAAGCGCGCCGCAAGATCACCGAGAAGGCTCGCAGCCGTGGCTTCTGGCCCATCAAGGGTCAGTCCTCCGGCGGCAAGTTCAAAGGCAAGGGCAAGGGATCCTCGTCCTTTGGAAAGGGGAAGAGCTTTCGCGGACCACTTGCTCAAAGGATCCTTGAAAGTGAATGCCACAGGTGCGGCAAAGTGGGGACACTGGAAAGCTGAATGCCCGAAGCGGTTTGAGAACGCCTCTGATGGCAAGACGGCCACCACAGCTTTCACGGGGAATGTCCTCACAGAGGATGGCTTCGATGACATAATCTTGATCGACGACCCTGGAGCCTCTCCGAATCAGGATGCTGCTTGTGCTGATTTGAAGTCTGTTTTTTGTTTTCACTCCACGGTACATCCCTGTGGGGAGACAGGGAGTAGAACCAAGAGTGTTTGGGGATTAGGGGATACACTTCATCAGCGCGCCAATAGGCTGAATGCCAGCCTTCGTCACATCCTGACGCCTAGCCCAAGCTCCCTGACGCAAGAAGTCAGAGCATCTATGCCTCCAGCCAAGACCACAGGCTGTTCGAGTGAGGATGCATTGTTTGTCTCATTTGGTCCATGCGGAATTGTGGACCTCGGTGCCAGCCAAACTGTGATCGTTGAAGCACAGGTTCAAGACTTGTTGCAAACCTTACCAACCAAAGTGCACCAACTCGTTAAACGAATTCCGTGCAACACATTGTCCCGGAGGTCATGAGGTCTGAAGGTCAACCGGCAAGTGCTTCCTCCTGTGCATCAACAGTGGTCACTCTCATGTCCGACTCGATGCCAGACATCTCAAGCCCGGAGCCTCTGTTTTGCCCGCCGACGTGAACCTGTACACGGAACACTTGGAGACCCAGAACGAGGGGAAACCCAAGAGCTCAGCATACCCAGGGACAATGCCCAAGAGTCGTGCCCAGCCAAAATCTGTGGTGAAGGGCAAGATCACATCGCCTCGGGGCGAACAGACACCTCCGACACCTCCGTCGTCGCGACAAGACCCGATCATCCCCGACTGAGTTTGAAGAACAACCGACTGATCGGGAGCAGACTTGCCAGATTCTCGATGCACTGCAGTCAATCCAGCCTGATGCCATCGACAGTGAATATGCTGAAGCAAACTTGCTTCATTTGCCCAACCAACCTAGCTGGATATCCCGAGAAATGCATCAATACTGGTCAAAGCAGAATGGTATTCACGATCCCGAACATCAAATTCATTTCTTGAATCGCTCAGGGATAGATGTGCTAGAAGTGTATTGTTCGGCTGACAGCCAATTGACACATCAAGCCAACTGTTTGGGGTTGAATGCTAAACGTTTTGGCCTGAAAGAAGGGGACCTTTCTACCTTTGCCGGAAGAATCCGTCTCTATGACATGTTGTGGAATTTGAGGCCTTCCCAAATCTGGGTATCACCCCGTTGTGGACCATGGTCAAATTGGAACAGGCTAAACATGTCTAAGTCTTCCGCCCTGGCAGAACAAATCTTGGCCGATCGGAAATCAGAAAATGTCCACCTCCAACTGTGTTCAGCTTTGTGCACGTTTCAGGTTCGAAGGGGGCCTCAATACCACTTTCACCTTGAACAACCCCAAGGGTCAGAATTGGTTTATCAAAAGGAAATGCAGCCGGTGTTGTCTTCCACCATCCGTGTGTTGTGTGACATGTGTGTTGCCGGACAACTGAGGCATCCGAATAGTCAAGATTTGCTCAGGAAGCGAACCCAGGTCCTCACTACATCCAGGTTGATGGCTCAACGACTGGAGCAAATGCAGTGCGCTGGGGATCATGTTCATGATTCCATTGCTGGCTCGTGTCGAATACCGGGAGGTGGTCGCCAATCACTCACCAAATACAGTGAGAATTACACAAAACGATTTGCAAGGTTGTTGACTCGTATCATCCAGTGTAGTATCAAGGTCCATGAGTCCCAGGAATGCCACCACTGTGTCATCATGTATGATACTCTAGTGGTAAATGCTGAAAGTGAGTCGGCGCCTCCTGCCAAACGCAGACGCCTCAGACTCAGCGGAAAATCGCCTGCTGATCAGCTGTATGAGCCACTCGGGGAAGTGGACACACTCGAGGCTTTTGCGGCCCTTGTTGACGCAGTGTGAAACCCTGGCACCTCGAGTCGGAAAACGCATTCTCTCCCATGGACCCACTTTTGATGCCATAGCTCAAGTGTTTCCCGACATGTCGATCCAAGCCATCGATGTATGTATAGTAAAGGGGTTGACAGACTGAGAACTGCACCGACCGATGCCCAACAGAAGACGCATCGCTGGACCTTCGGCAGAGATCGCAAGAGCCTCCAGTTTTTCTCGGACCGAAAGTGGGAACACTGGTCTCACAACGACAGCAAACCCGACCAGGAACTCCGGCTAGAATAGCCATCACAATCTTCGCATATCCCAAGGCCAAGGTTGAAGTGACGCCTCCGACCAAAGTGCCATCCCAGACAAGAGAAGTGACGGACGGCGCTAAGGAGAGCACACTCGGTTCTACCACTTCATTGACACAGCCACGAACTTTCACATGGCTATTCCCACCACGTCCAAAACAACGGAAACCTTGATTCAGTGCTGGCAATCTGCATGGATGTCCTGGGCTGGACCACCAAAAGCCATGATGTTTGATAGTGCAACCGAGGCAAACAGCGATGCCTTTTTTCTAAGTATTTGCAAGAGCAGAATATTCAGTGTCATGTTGTTCCCACCGAGGGTCATTGGCAACTTGGCAGAGCAGAACGGCATGGGGCCATTTTGCAACGCATGTTGGACAAATTCCATGCCGACCGACCGATTCGATCATCCGGGGACTTTGCTCAAGCCCGACTGCAAATCTGTTAACGCCAAGAATTCTCTATCTAGAGTAAAGGGCTACACTCCTGAACTGCTGGTCTTAGGTAAGAACCGTCGTTTACCAGGCAGTGTCATGGACGATTCCGAAGTTGGGTCAAACATCACAGCTAGCGAAACCGAGTCTGGACACTTTCAAGAACAGTTAGCCATTCGTGAAGCCGCTCGGATCGCTTTTGTCAAAGCCGACAATTGCCAGAATCTCCGCAGAGCTTTGCGTGGCAGGAGTCGTCCTAACAGGGTGACCTTTGAGGTAAACCAATGGGTCATGTACTGGAAAGAAGGTAAAGGGGCAGAAAAAGGAAAATGGCATGGACCGGCCAAAGTTCTAATGATTGATGGACATAGTGTCGTGTGGATTAGCCATCTCACCAAGCTGTTTCGATGCGCCCCTGAACATATTCGAGCCTTATCTAACCAGGAACACAGTATCCTCAAAAGGGAAGACCACTCGGAACGACCCCAAGTCACTGGTACAGGAGTCTTCCAATTTCGGGATTTGACTCCCTCAGAACGACCCACTCAAAGAGTTGATTCGTCCAGCGCAGCAAGTGGGGGACCCACTCCTGCAGGAACCTCTATCCCTGAGGGTGAAAGTGTGTCCACGGGTCCGCCAATTGTGGGCATCCCACATTGTCCTCAGAGCGCCCAGTCGGAACTCCAGCCAGACGCTGAGCCAGACCGTCAGGAGCTGGGCAATCTCGGCCAATGAGTGTC